ATGGTTGATGAGGAGAAATCGTCTCAAGAGGATTTTACAAAAGACCTGGCATTCACCATGCTCTGGTGTCTTCAAACTCTTAGAGAGATTCATCAAATCTCTACGTGATTGCCCCGGATTGACTGTAGTCAGCACAACAAAGTCTTCGAATTTTTGCCCCAAACGAGCAAACAAGTCGGGAAAAGCATTAACTGGGAGAAGCAACATGTTCGTGCTTAAGGTCTTCATGTGACACGCCCCTGAATATGATTTTGTTCTTGAAATAATTCACCAATTACTCAACATAGTTTCAGGCCTTAAAAGAATAAACTCATCACTGATGCTTTTGTGAGCTTCCTTGATATCAAACAAATGTTTTGCAGTTAGAAAAAGTTTACAATGAGAATGAAAATTCTAATGCAACAGTTATGTAAGTCTTGAAGATTTTGAAAGATATCGCACAAATTTTGCGAGTTAAAGCACCATTTATTTTTGTATAGGAAAAACACATGATACCAATATAACTATTTAGAACATTCATGGGAGTCAGGAACACTATCTCTTTGAAGTATGCTTTCAAAATAACCTTGCTTCAATTAGGACTTTTGAAGGTTGTAACGTGGTCTGGTTCATGGTTTTTAGAAAAAAGATTTTAAGGCTCAAAATATTTGGTGCCCACCCATTCTTCATGATGTTCTCCAACCCTATGTTCAGTTAATTCAATCATGAGTGTTCATCTCTCAAAAGGATTTTGTGACGGTCAAGGAAACGACGAGGCTTTCGGAGTAGAAACCACCCTCATGTCTTCGTGTTTGTAGTCACCAATTTGTTCTTTGCTGAGGACTTTTCTTTGCAGTCCTTTTCTTTGCAATTTTTATTTTCCTTAACTTTTGCCTGAACTAATTCTTTTGAATTGATAGTCCAGCGGGATGCCTTAATTTTGCCTAAGTCACACGTTTTCATGTTTTTTGACTTAGCAGGCTTTTTTCTCGATTTTTGACTTTTTGAACAAAATGTGTGACATTAGCTTGTATTTGCTTGTTGAGAAGATTGTGATTGCCTCGTTTCTTGATGAATGAGGGATAACATTATGATTCCACATCTTCTAGATTCATTATACATGAAGGATAGCCCTCGTAGTTTCTCAAAAAAACATCTTCCTTATGAATTTTGAACACTCAGTCAGATTAACTAAAAACTACCCTGCCCCAGGTTAAAATTCAAGGTTTTTTCGTATAGAAAAGAAACTTCTGCTTCAAAGGCTCAAAAGGGGTTAGCAAGGGATTATCTTCCTTATATCTCCAGTGTTTAGGGATTTGAAACAATGCCTGTACATCATCAGCAAGATTTTATCCAAAAGCATGCAACCAGAGATTTCGTTTTCTTTAGATCATCATCCTCCCTTCAATCTCTGCCTAGGCAAGAGAATGAGCAACAATTTGGTATCATAGTGCAAAAGCAATTTAAAATTTGAAAACAAATATGAGTGAAACGAATGAATTTCTTCAAGACAAACATATTCATTGTATTAAGATAATCATTCAGATGCAAACAAGTTCTTACATGCAAACAATGTTTTGATAAACAAGAAAAAATTACAAAAAGCATAAATAAGTTAATAATCTGGGAAGGCTTTCCATCTGGACTTGAATTACCGAAAACATCCTTCAAAAATCAAAGTCACTATCAATCGTGTTTACTCTTCGGCGCATGCTTGATTTGAACTTCAAAACCAACGTCCTTGAATGACAAGATACCACTTCTGACCAACTTCTGAACCTCAATCTTCAAAGCAAAGCAACCCTCCAAGTCATGCCCAGGAGCACCTTGATGAAAGGTACAAGCCAAATCAGCTTTGTAGTACCAATGTATTTTCTCAGGAACCTTCGGTGGAGGTCGGGTCTGAACCAAATTCCTCTGCATCAGGATAGGGAACAACTCTGTATAGGTAATTGGAATTGGATCAAACTGGGTTTTCCTCTGATTAGGAACTTGCTGATTCTGTTGATGAATAGGAGAAACATGATGATTCTGACAATGATTATTTCTTCCTCTGGTTCTCTTCTTGGAAAAGTCATTATCAAACTTCTTCACACTATTAGCTGAGCTACCATCTTCATATAAACATCCCTTTCAGACATCTTCTTCTAGACGCACTCCCACATTCACCTTGTCAGGAAAGTCATTAGGTGCATTAACCATCACCTTCTCATGAGAGAATGATTTTAGAGTTTCAGTGAAGACCTTTTCCATCACTTCTTCTTTCTTAGAAGGATTGACTCGGGCGGCAACCAGAATTTCAACCAAAACAGTTGAGTGATCCATACCAGCTTTCAAAATAGTCATCTCTCTACGGAGTTCAGAAACCTCTTGCTTGATATTCTCCATTGTTCTCTTAGCGCGAGTGTTGTACTGGTGAGACCAAAGGAAAAATAAGACTCGGAAAAAGACCTTTGAAAGTGAAACAAAAAATGTAGAATGATGTATGATATGCAAAAGAGAGTTTTTATTTGATTTTCAAGGAACTCAATATATTAAGTTGTAAACATCAAAGTATGAAGATAGAAGATGAATTTTAAATTGGCTCCAAACATTGATCAAGTTATCATCAAGATCAATCATCCATTTTGGTGGATTCGGGTTTTCGCCCTATCAACACCCAAGATCCATTGAGCTTGACGAAACTTGTGATGTTTACAAAGAAAGACCTCCAAATTCCTTCAAAGTCAAGTCAAAAGGGTTTTATGGATGCATGAATGCACGGCTATGCAACAACCACAAGCAAGGTCACAAATAAAGTCGAAAGGTTCAACGTCACGAGCATGGAGTCAAGGTAAGGAACACCCCCAAGGTATGTACTAACGGTTTAATCACACCTGTAGAACAAGATTCTAAGAGTTCCCGGAGTCTACATTCCTCCTTCGGATATTACCAACGTTTTGATTACTCAATAATCAACAATATTCTCAAGAGAAACTTTTCCGAGCGTAGCATCGCGTAACAATTACTTCCGGATTACTCCGTTATAATCTCTGCGCTACACCTAAAAGGCCAAGATGGGTTAGGGTTCTACGGTTCCCAGCTTCTCTGGCTCCCAGGTCGAAAATAATAATGTCTTCCCGATTACTCGGTAAACAAATATTACGTTCAAAAGGGCCTTCCACTGAGTGGGGGATCTCATGCCTCCTTCTTCGGAATTACTCCCTCAAAGTTAACATGACTATACCGCCCGTCCTATTCCTAAGTGTAACTTAGTCCGGGTATAGGACTTGTCCTTTGTAAATATTATCAACACCCAAATAATCATAATATATACATATAATCAAACAATCAAATAATGATAAACAGATAAAACAAATTAGGCTTAACCCACTTAGGGATGGACCAGCAAGAGGTCAATCTTTCCCCAACAGAGTCGCCAATTCTGTAGCGGTGAAAATTGGAGATCAAGCTATTAATTAACTTGACTCACAAAAAGCAAGAGTCGCCACCGCGCTTTATTATTTCCAAGGGAAAAGGGAAAAGAGCGAAATAAAACCCTAAAATATGCAATGTAAAATAATACTTAAAAGTAATAAAAATACAATGCGTTTTTGAAAGAGATTGAGAGTTCGGGGGTTGGTTATACAATGGGAAGGTATTAGCACCCACTGCATCTGCAGTACTCCACAGGAACCTTTTGAAATATTTGTTTTTTGGTTTAAAATTGTTTATTTGATTAAAATGATTCGTTTGGCTAAAAGATGGGTATGGACGAGATTTTTGAAGATACGACGACCTAGTGTCGAAGTTTTGACTTAAAAGGTGTGAGTTTGAAAATTGAGTCTTTTGGGAAAATTATCTTAAGTTTAGCAAAATAGTAAACAAGCAAAAAAATGAATGAAGGGGTTCGCGCAATCGTATGAGATATGTTCGGCGACATGAAGTCAACAAATTTAATTCTCTCACTTGGAGTTTAGACGGACGAACAAAATAAAATGGATGTCAAAATATGAACATTCGAAAATTCACAAGGAAATAAATCGAAAGACCCCAAAAAATTAAAATGACAAAGATATTTAAAAGAGAATGGAACCAATTATCTGAATTGAAATTCTAAGATTACTTACTAAAATAATTCTGAACTAATTACGAATTCTAAGGTTATAAAGAATAATTCTAAAATTACTAAATTCGATATAAACTAAATTAAAATTCTAAAGTTATTAAGTTAAATCTAAAATAACTAAAAATAATTCTAAAGTTACTAAAATAATCCTAAATGAACTTAAAATTACTAAAATAATTCTAAACTAAAATTATTAAAATTTGTCTAATTGAAACTACATGTTTCTTTCTAAGAAACTAACTAACCTAATTTAAATAAATTTAACTAAGGAATTAAACTAAAATAAATAGCATGGGGGTATCAAACCGAAAAAAGGGGTGTAATGATAGGAATTCAGAATGACTAGAATAAGGGAAAGGCCCATATGAAGGAGGAGGTTGAATAATATTTGGATTTTTGATAGAGAATTACTTTTGAGAGAGCTAAGTATTGACCTGAATTGTGAGATGAGGTATACGGAGAAGGCGCAGCATAATCAGATCTGGATCCTTTTCCCTTTTTCTTTTTCTGTACAAAGCACACAACGATACCAAGAAGGTTGAGGACAATTAAACTAACTACAACGCCAATAGTAACAGCAGCTCCGGTATTTAACCCTCCTGAATGTGAAGGAGCGTTGTTTGTGGCTATATTATCAGAACCGTTAACACTTGGTATAGATGGAAATGGCACAATTGGACTGTCACCATGTACTGTTTCGTTAGTAGGAGTTGCTGCAGGTCCTGAAGTAAGAGTTGATGGCAATGTGGGTGGAGGTGGAACAGTTGAAGGGGAAGGAGGTGATTGAGAAACAGATGGAGGGGATGCATCATGTGAAGGAGGCAAAGGAGTACTTTTCGGTGGCTTTGCGTGTGGTGGTGCAGGTTGTGTTGAAGAAGGTTGTGAGCGTGGGTTGTTTGTTTAACAATGGAGGTTAGTTGTTTTGACAGAGGGCGAAAGGGGTAGCAACATCGGCGGTATCTTCGGTTGCCCTGACAACAAGTCTAGAACTAGCAATATTGTTGGATTTTATAGGAAACATCAACATGTTAGTCCTGGAAGAAAGTGAGGAGGTTGTGTTGTTGGCAGCAACATTGAGGGACAAGACAAATCCACAAGCTGCTGATGCCACGCTACTGCTAGCCATGGATAATACTCTGTGTGTGTTTCTCTAACGTTAAAAGTTGGAAAAAGGAGAATTGAAGATTGAGATGAGAGAAGGGTTTTTGAGTGAGTGAAGTGTGTTAGTTTGGTTTGCAGATTCCGGAAGAGAGAAATTGAAGGGGTTTGTTGTTGTGGATGTGAATTGAATAGAGAGGGATGGTAGCAAGTGTGGTTTACTGCTAATGCCTTTTTGTTAGTTTTTTTGTTGTGTATCTAAGAAGAGAGGATAGGTTACTGTGTATTGAAAGTGAGTTGTGTTTTGGTGATTTTGTATCGATCCGTAAATTCTGCCAGCAACCAATGAAAATCAAGCATAGTATATTTAATATTTTTTTGTGACTAAAAAGCCCTTTAATGAAAAAATTAGAAATAAAACCTTGAAAGTATAAAAAATAACTCCATTTAAAATGATTTTTGAATATTTTATGAATAAAATATAAAGACCCAAAAATGACCGAAAATGATAAAAAACGGACGAAAATTTATCCGAAAAAATAAAATGAACACATTAAAATAATCTACATGTCACAAAGATTAAAGAAAAATATTCAAGAAGTCAAAAATCAAAAATAAAATAATAATAAAAATATCAGACTAAACAGACGTTTAAGGTTAAAAACGAGACTTCGAACTGTACCGAAAAAATAAAGCGAGCATACCGTCATAATCTATGCGAAACGCAGATTCATAAAATGATCGGTAAAAGGTGAAAACTTGAAATATTTTCTCGCTAATTTTCCGCACAATGTCGAACCGCTTTTAACAGTTTGTCTATAAGACCGAAATATTTTTATTATCGACATATAAACAACTTGGAGTCATGCAAGAAAATAGTGAACAGGTAAAAATGAATGATGTGAAACGCCGGGTATTTTACAACTGAAAGACGATGCAAACTTTGATTTAAAATGACTTTTTCTGATCAACTTAAATGCGACTAATGATGCAAAATATGATGAATGAGGATATTTACTAATGATCGTGACCAAATAACAAAATATGATATGAAAGTGCGACTAAAACATATTAGTGGCGAAATTTAGGGTGCGATAGTTGTGCCTTGATGAATCAGTCTTCGAGAATCCACAATCAACCGTACTTCTGGCTTGGGAGACTCAAAACCTTAATTGAGGCGCGACACCTGATGCTCTTGATTCAGACCTGTCTCTGCACATGAAACAAAAGAAAACATGAACATACACCTTTGTATGCGATTAGAAATTAGTGACACATAGGCTCAAAATGTTCAAAACACTTGACAATCTTCACATAGTCAAAGCTCGAAGGTGAGACGTTAAAATTGACCGTATTTCATGACCTTGACTTATCTTAAAAAAAATAAAAAATAAAAATGGGATCTTAGGTCAAAAATTGGGGTACAACAGCTGCCCCTATTTAAGTTTCTTCTATCTGGAAATATGAAGATTTGGATCTTCATTTCGACGAGATTGAAGGGACTTAAATATAGAATACACAATTTTTGGCCTTAAGATACCGCGATTATGTTCATGATATGATATGAATGTAATGCTCTGAATTTTATGGGGAATGACGCCATATGAGACAGACTATGCTGGAGAAACCAAGCACATTATACAGTAATCCCACAGAGGAAGAGGTTGTAACTCCGCTGGGGAAACAAAGTCATAGACTTCAAATGAGAGACTCTTGAATGATTTACATCAGTATTGGGACTGGAAAAGGTAATGATTTACAACATTACTGTGACTGGAAAAGGAAATGATGGACATCAGTACTGAGACTGGAAAATGATTGACATCAGCACTGTGGCTGGAAAACAAAATGATTGACATCGGTACTGAGACTGGCAAATGATTGTCATTAGTACTGAGACTGGAGATAAACATCTCTGACTTGTGAATTTCACCAAGAACGGTAACACAATTCTTCTTTAACCAAGATATTGCTTAAAAAGGATAAAATACAAACTTCCCCATGGGACTTTTCCGAAGGGATGCCGTTGGCTGAGTAGACATTATTGTTGGGGATACACAAGCTGCTCAAATAAAGAGGCCGCCACTTGCTATCTTTCAAAGGTGTCAATAACATACAAGTTGCTCATGAAGAGACCACCGCTTGCTGTTTTTCAAGAGAACAATAACACACAAGTTGCTCATGAAGAGACCGCCGCTTGCTGTTTTTCAAAGATAACAATATCACATAAGTTGCTCATGAAGACACCGCCACTTGCTGTTTTCAAAGGTGTTAATAACATACAAGTTGCTCATGAAGAGACCGCCGCTTGATGTTTTTCAATAACACACAAGTTGCTCATGAAGAGACCGCCGCTTGATGTTTTGAAAGGTGACAGTAACACACAAGTTGCTCATGAAGAGACCGCCGCTTGCTGTTTTCAACAGTGACAATAACATACAAGTTGCTCATGAAGAGGCTGCCGCTTGCTGTTTTCTCTAAGGTATCAATAACATACTAGTTGCTCATGAAGAGACCGCCGCTTGATGTTTTTAAAAGTGTTGATAACATACAAGTTGTCCATGAAGAGACTGCCGCTTGCTGTTTTTAAAAGTGTTGATAACATACAAGTTGTCCATGAAGAGACTGCCGCTTGCTGTTTTTTCAAAGATACCCATAAAATATCATGAAGATATTACTGGAGGTGAGAATCAATAATTTCATCGAGGATGGACAAACTGCTCATGAAGAGACCGCCATTTTTCGTAGAGAAATCTGAAATAATCAAACTGCTCAAATAAAGAGTCAGTCGCTTGTTGTCATGTCGATATTCCAGAAGAAGGTTGTGATAACACTGCTAGGGAATAAGGTTCATCTTCAATGGGAAACCATGAATGGATTCTTCCTGAGAAGACCAAATATTTACGTTGCAAAATAAATGCACTCTCCATCTAGGTTTCACAGCCTAGAGAGATCCACAGGGTATCGTTCACAAGAGACAAAGCTCAATCCAGGAATAAACTGAAGAGAAAATAGTCAAACAAGACTCCACCCAATGAGGAAACAACTCAAATGGGGATTTATCCTATCCAAAGATGGAAAAGGAAACCTGAAGCAAGATTCTTCCACAAGAGTTAACTCAGTGGGGAATTAGAAAAAGAGGCGCACTTTCTGCTTAAGTTGACACTCTATTTGGAAAGATCAAATATGTTATTTGAATAGACATAACCAAGGTATACGAACTCAATGACATCAACAAATACAACTGTGCGTGCATGATGCAAGTGTGAATGAATAAATGAATGGCATGTATATGCTGACAAAACAGACAGGGGAGATGGACAGAAAATGATAAGACATCACAGTACAACTCGACACTCGGCTAATCTCAACAGGATGGTAACATTACTGGAGATAGAAAACAAAAGCCATCATTGGAGCAAAGTCCTTTTACAAGGCTTAAATCTCTTTGGAGAGGAAGATATTTTTAGGTAGAAAACCCAAAGTCCAGTCTTCTATTGTCGACAATCCATTGAAAGGATAACAACACGAACAATGCTTCAGCCGGAAAAAGTCATGCTTAACTGGAGATACTGGGAACACCACCCTTTGACAATGTATGAAAAACATATCTTGACAAATCTGGATTGCCCTTGGGATTAATTTTGGATGCCCCAAATTTACTGCTGATAAGCTGCGTGATGCACGACAATTCTTGCGAATAGCTTCACCTCTAAAATTCCCCAAGCTATATGGTTGATGAGGAGAAATCGTCTCAAGAGGATTTTACAAAAGACCTGGCATTCACCATGCTCTGGTGTCTTCAAACTCTTAGAGAGATTCATCAAATCTCTACGTGATTGCCCCGGATTGACTGTAGTCGGCACAACAAAGTCTTCGAATTTTTGCCCCAAACGAGCAAACAAGTCGGGAAAAGCATTAACTGGGAGAAGCAACATGTTCGTGCTTAAGGTCTTCATGTGACACGCCCCTGAATATGATTTTGTTCTTGAAATAATTCGCCAATTACTCAACATAGTTTCAGGCCTTAAAAGAATAAACTCATCACTGGTGCTTATGTGAGCTTCCTTGATATCAAACAAATGTTTTGCAGTTAGAAAAAGTTTACAATGAGAATGAAAATTCTAATGCAACAGTTGTGTAAGTCTTGAAGATTTTGAAAGATATCGCACAAATTTTGCGAGTTAAAGCACCATTTATTTTTGTATAGGAAAAACACATGATACCAATATAACTATTTAGAACATTCATGGGAGTCAGGAACACTATCTCTTTGAAGTATGCTTTCAAAATAACCTTGCTTCAATTAGGACTTTTGAAGGTTGTAACGTGGTCTGGTTCATGGTTTTTAGAAAAAAGATTTTAAGGCTCAAAATATTTGGTGCCCACCCATTCTTCATGATGTTCTCCAACCCTATGTTCAGTTAATTCAATCATGAGTGTTCATCTCTCAAAAGGATTTTGTGACGGTCAAGGAAACGACGAGGCTTTCGGAGTAGAAACCACCCTCATGTCTTCGTGTTTGTAGTCACCAATTTGTTCTTTGCTGAGGACTTTTCTTTGCAGTCCTTTTCTTTGCAATTTTTATTTTCCTTAACTTTTTCCTGAACTAATTCTTTTGAATTGATAGTCCAGCGGGATGCCTTAATTTTGCCTAAGTCACACGTTTTCATGTTTTTTGACTTAGCAGGCTTTTTTCTCGATTTTTGACTTTTTGAACAAAATGTGTGACATTAGCTTGTATTTGCTTGTTGAGAAGATTGTGATTGCCTCGTTTCTTGATGAATGAGGGATAACATTATGATTCCACATCTTCTAGATTCATTATACATGAAGGATAGCCCTCGTAGTTTCTCAAAAAAACATCTTCCTTATGAATTTTGAACACTCAGTCAGATTAACTAAAAACTACCCTGCCCCAGGTTAAAATTCAAGGTTTTTTCGTATAGAAAAGAAACTTCTGCTTCAAAGGCTCAAAAGGGGTTAGCAAGGGATTATCTTCCTTATATCTCCAGTGTTTAGGGATTT